CAACTAAGGATCATCAGAAAACTTCCTCATTCGCATACAGATAGTTTTCTTTGAAATATGCATTCTGTAAACAAACCAAAACTAAAACCATTGTAGAGTGCATGCTTCTCCTTAGAGAGCATGTACATATAATGTTAGTCATGTCACATATTACACCACCAGAAGTTACTCTAAGTACCAAGACTGTGATTAAAAAAACAACAAAAAAAAAACCCCAAAACTCTAAGGAACAAAAAAAACTGAGAAACTCTTCATATTCCCAAGACACTACAGTTACTTTTCCATCATTGATCATTTTTTAATTCATTTACATTGTATCTCATCTTCATTAGTGTTTGGGGTTTTGTTTGTTTTAAGCTTGGCATCGAGGAGTGTATTCAGCATAATTGTTCCATCTTAAATAACATCATCTTGTAGTATTAAGTATAACCTAACAAAGAAATACCCTAAAGTATCTATACAATATAATTCTCAGGTAGCTTAAATTATTTGCTCGTTAAAACATAAACCAAACCACATCAGACGACTAAGAACAGCTTCTAATAACAAGAAGCCAGGTATTTTGAGTTTTAAACAAACTTCTGCAAAAACTACAGAGTTTAAAGAAAATTTTTTTGTTTACCTTGTCTTGTTCCAGCTGCTCAATCAAATTCTTTGCATCATGCAGCTGCGTAATCAGTTTAGTCTTCTCAGCCATGTGAAGGTCCTAAAAAAAGACCCCAACGTGAAGTTTAAAGCACTGCCATCTGTAAAAAAACCACCTTCTTCTGGCAAACAGCTTAGGTTTGGCTCTTATCCTGCACTATGCCTTGGAGGAAAAGCACAGAACAGAACCCAGGGAAATTAAAGCAGGCAGCTTTAAATTACTTTTAAATCTCCCAGTGCTAGGCTGCCCCATGGCTTCCATAATAATTCAGGTATCTGAAGGCTTTGTTACAGCCTCCACAGCTCTCTCGTGGACCTCAGAGCTGCTACAGTAAAATGGGCAAGAAACATGCCTAAAGCACCTGCTCTGTTACCTGCATCTCAGCCTACAAGAGCATCTCAGCAATGCAATATAATTGCTCATTACTGGCCTGGTTCTGGAAAAGGTCCTTAAAATACTCAAGCCTTTCAGAGCTCTTTCAAATTCAGCTAGTGTTCAGAGACCAAGACAGAGAAGAGAATCTCATCTCCAGACTGAAGCTGAGTACAGCTATACTTACCACATTTTCATGTTTCCACTACTATCAGCCACCTTACTTTTTAGTCCACACTTGGCATTAATGGCCTTAAAAGGAAAGCTGAACAATACTTAACGTTATCTTCACCATATTGTGCTCTCCGCTGTCCTGCCTTTCTGTGTTTTCTGTTCATTTACATAACTGATGCCTTTTCCACTGTCTCTTAAAGTTTAGCTCTGTTTCACTTTTCTCGCTTTACCTCCTGTCTTCTGTGCTAGGACAGTCTTTTCCTCACCCCAACTTCCCACAGCTACCTTATTTCTGATACCATTTTGATGGTTATCCATACAGTAACGTTTCATACCCTTCTTTACAGGTTTTTGAGTAATTGCTCAATGTGTTCATTCCAGGTGGGTTTTGCACCTTTAACTTCAAAAAATTAAAGGGACAGTTTGTTTAATGGTCTGCCCTATTAATAAATTTTGGAAATACTGGAGTTCTTACTGTGTTTTAGTAGCTACCCACAAAGTTAAGAGCATTTTCCATACCTTCATCTTCTCCAGTTCCTGAAGCCTCTCTTCTAACTGTTCTTGAAGTGCCTCTTTTTCATTAGTTAATTGGGCACAGCGCTCCTCATGTGACTGAATCATCTCCTTACAATGTTGCAGTAAGTCCTCTTGGTGCTTCAACTTCCGATTAAGAGTTTCCATTGTTTTAACACAACCTCCATCACCCACTACAAGACAACATACCAACATTTTCATATGCACACCGTTTCCAAAATGTAGATCTGCATTCATCATTCACATTGCGAGTGACTCACAGGTCTCTCAAAGTTGTGCAAAGTTTACAAAACTTCCTAGTGACTACTATAACTGCCAGAAACATGCTACATGTACACATAATAGCAAATAGAGTCTTTCACCCCAAATTAATTTACAAAATCCCAGTACTACACAAGCTTCAAAACCAAACTATCATTCAACAAGGTTTTCTATGCAATTAAGAAGTCATCATAATTTATAAACCTGCCTGCTACTACTAATGGAATATTCACAGGCAGGAAAAAACGGGAAGCAAAGTAAATTGCATCTCTCAAGTGCCAAGCACACAGATTCCTGCTTTCCCAGGGCTGGGTATGACGTTAATTCTAAAATATCCATGTCGGCAATACTTCAGCAGGATAAAGGCCACATTTAGCGTCTTTCCGAGCTGTACTTCTCTCTGTATAACTAGTACATTGCATAATACGTTACTGATGCTCTGGAGGCTGTAAGAGTACTTGGCATGAAAATAGGATCAGACAAATTCGATTCATGACCATAAGTCTTACATACTACAGTCCAGAAGCACACTCCAGCACAGGAAACATCTTGAACCCTGATTCTTACGGACTGGATACTTATGTTATTTCCTAAGCACTACAAAAGACATGATGCTGGATATATAAATGTCTGAGCTAACCCTTCATATCATCCCAACATACAGAAATCATGGCAGATGTTGAACAAAGATCATTTCAAGATGTATGTTCACCTCTGTCTGAACCCTGCCTTTCATGAAGGATATCAATGAATGACACTTTCATTACATATCAGCATTATAATGCCCCTTGCTCAGTAATCAAATATACACAATACTGGGAGTCCCATAACTCAAATGATTTCCTGACGCAAAGAACACTTAGATTATTCAACAGCATGAATGCCAAAATTGGTCTTTGATTTTACCTTTTCCTGAGAAAGGAGGAAAAAAAAAAAACAGATAGGGGATAGACTGGCAGCTGGTCTCCTATCTTATCTCCAGGGATAGGGCCTTGCTAATGGGGGACAGAATCTCTTAATCATAGTAAGTGGGGATAGTAACAACCCCTACTGGCAAAAGCAGTATTACAATGCTATCATCATTATTGACAAAGGGAAGCTGTATCAGATTTGAATTCTTACGAAAATTGAGTATCTTAAAAGGGTTATCCTGTCCTCTAGCTGCCACACTGCTTTCAAAACAATTGTCTCCTTCTAGAAAATATATCCTTACTATAACATCTTCAGCCCTAAATATTGTTACTCCATCATAAGTAACAGCAGGCTTATTCCCCAGAATTTAAGACCACTTGAAAAAGTCTCAATACCTACCATCGCTTTCTGGTTCCACAGCATTTTCTGGACTGATTTCCTCTGTTGGACCTTGAACTTGTGGTTCAGATTGAATATTTGGATCAGGCAATTCAGTGCCTCTCTGACTATTCTGTTTCAGCAACAATACCTAAACAAAATGGTTTTTTTAACAAAAAATTGTTTTAACAAAATTTGTTAAAAAATCCAAGGATTCTAAGTAGGTCATGTTTTCATCTTCAAAACTAGAGAGAGTTAAATAAAACTGATAGCAACAAGCAGAGAAAGGAAAAATCTGTCTGAATTTTTTTATCATTTTTTAAAATCAGAATTACGTTTCCAATTAACAAAACCAGTATCATTATGAGTGGAGAAACAGAGACTAATTAAGCAAAACACAAATTTTGCCAAAGTAATTTTAGCTCAAACATCTGCTAATGTTATGTTCTTCATAACAAAGACATTACAAAGGTATTTAAGCGTAGATCAAACAATCATATTTAACATGAGTGAGATTTTACAAAGGTATCCTCTACCACAAAGATGCACTTAATTTCTAGATAATAATAAATTCTCAAGAAGTTTTACAACATTGCAGTAATTATAATAAAACATGGATACGCATTACAGGAAATACATAATTTAAAAAAAAAGTAGGAAGAGCAGTTTTAAAAAACATCTGTTGGCTAAGGTATCTTACCTGAGTTTGCAGGACACTAATAAGTTGATCCTTTTCTTCTAAGGAAGCATTAAATTCCTCTTGGAGATGTTTTTTAGCTTGTTGATCCATCTGGAGCTCCTGAGAATCACAAATAAATGTACGTCAAATAAAAACTGAAATGTGAATTTAAAAGGCTTATCGAATAACATTAAAAATGCTCTTTGCAGTTGTGACCCCAGAATTCAACCATAAAGTGGATATTTCTTTTACTATAAAACTTTCCACACAACATAATAAGAACATTCCATTATAGTACCAGCTATAAAACAGCAAGAGTCTAGATTTGATGCAAAATTATCAAGGATTCTTTCTTCCTAAAGATAAGTTTGTGCAGGGATCACTTCAAGCCTGCTCCTGAAAACTGTTTTCCATGCACACATTTCTCCTGAAGTTGAAGACTGCACTTAGGTAAACTGGATTCTTCATTTAACCACCAGATTAAGTCAACATAATCAGCAGAAATGCAAATTTCTTATGCTCATTCAATATGTTAGCACTCTAATATGACAAATGCCATTTATAAGAGCAGAAAGTTGGCTTTTTTATTCCTCAAGCATGTCTCAGATGAGAAAGCCAGAGAATGCCGAAGAACTTAACTATGTGGCTTTCCTTGCTACTTACTTGCATTCATTTGGCTGAAGACCTTTAGAAACTTGCAGACATTGCCTAAATGCACTAGTAGGATATACATAATCTTATCAAATACCGCCTTAGGGAGGTTTCTTTTATTTACTTCCCATGCTTTTAAAGTTTAAATATTTTAATTTCTTTAAATAATTATTGTTCTAATAGAAAATAAATGTATTTAAAATTAAATTAATTCACATCTAGCTGCTCAAGAGAATGAGAACCACACACATTTCATGCATGCACTGTAAATAATTCCCCAAACTTGTATTTTAATTTTTTTTTAATTTATAAATTTGCTTTATCCATATGTGTATCTTTCCAGTGATTTACTCCAGGAAACTAATGCTTCTATGACCTTTATTCTGCAAAGATTGCTTGTATAAAAGCAAGTATCACCTACAAACATGGGTTTTGTTAGCCAGGCTGTGTCACCGTTTAAGGTAAAGATAGAGGACGATAGAAAGCGAAACAAAGGATGAAAAAGCAAACGAGACAAAACATAGGGCACTGGATGCTTCCTGCATTGTTTTCCTCCAACTCCGAATCTTGTTTTTATGCTCTCTTGCTGGCGATCCCTTACCTCCAACAGTGAATTCTGGCTGCCCTAGCTGAGCCCGATACCGGCTTTGAGAACCACAGCTGCGTGAGCTGAGCCTGCCCAGCTATGCACAGGCAGGACAGGGCTGGAAGCCATCACTGGGAGAACCATTCTTCTCTCTTCCCAAGTGCCTATATCCACTTTTTAACCCTGCACTGCTTCAGATTTTCAACAGCCACTGATCACACTTCTGCCTTGTGCTTCTGAGCTTTAGAAGCAATTCCTTCTAAGCAAAGCAGCTCAGCTCAGTGCAAGAACAAGTGCCAAAGAGATTTACTGAAACCAACACAGAAGTGGTCCTCTTTGGGTCCCAAAGTCCCCTCTGATCCTTGTCCTAGAAGGAGAACACTGAAGACTGCTTGAAGACTGCTGTTGAGGAATTACTCTTAACAGGAGAAAACTAAGGTAAGCAAAAGACACATTGATTTGCAGGACAGTCAACTTAGCCTCAAAAGAGACTTAGTTTATTCTTACATGACCCTTTCTTAGAAGAAACTTGTCTGATTCAACATATTTCTGGGAAAAATGGACTGTATGATGATGAAAAGGATTTTTAAAATTATTTTCTGATAAAAAATTTTTACATCAATGAATGATCTATTTTGTACCATTTTAGCTTCCACAATGGAAATGTACCATTTTATTTGTAGTTTTTCTTTTAAGTCTGTTTTACCCAATGCTTAAACACTTGGGCTTCCAAAAGACAAAAAAAAACCCCAATTTTTGAAGTTTTTCAATTAATGAAACAATTTCAGTGTTAGATTTGAAGAAATCTTTAAATCTACAAGATTTATAAGAATGAAATTAAATTTTACACCAAAGAGATATGCAATTTTTTTATATATATATCAGATATATAAACATCATATACAACTTATATGAATCAGAAAGACTTATGACAGAAGAAGTGAAAAGTAAGTATGCACACGTGCAACCCTTTTTCATAATCAAAAGCTTTAACTCTAGTATATATACGCCTTCCAAACTCTACCAAGTACCAATAACCTGGAAAAAACTAAACCTACTGGAGCATGCGGATATAGACTTAATATAGAATGAACTGTTTTCATTTGACCTTGTAGGAAAAAAAAGAAACATCGGCAAGCCACTTCTATCAGTAATGCTGTAGGTTTTCCCCTCCTATGGGTTAACAGTTTAGCTTAGGACAGGGCGACAGCCCAGGCACAGGCTCTGGCTCAGGTAAGCACGGCACACCTAGCACTCCGGCCCACTGTTCTCAGCTGCTGGGGCAAAAGCAGTACAGATCTGAACCAAAACGCTACCCCCACGGCTCACACAATTCACAGCCCGCTTACCTGCGTTAACACCTCGCATTGCTGAAGAAGAGTGCCCCGCAATTTGCCAGTGACCACCTTTGAAGGAGGACTGTCTGCCCAACCGGCCACACAGGGACAGCTCCTGGCCGGTGAGCACGACCCCGGGGTACCTGAGCATCCGTATGTTCACAGTCGCAGTCCCTCACCCTCAAGGGATGGACCCTGGCCCCTGTCTGCCAGCGAGACACCCAACTGCCTGAAGCCAGTCTGCCTTCAGGCAAAGGTGGGACCTCACCATGGTCCGACGGCTCTTGCAACCTCCACACCAGCGCTGCTGCTCAGCACGGCACGCACCAAAACCAGGAGCGCAGCCACAGAGAAAGCACATGGCTTTGAGTGAGCTGGTACCCGGCTCCCAAGCGAGGTAAGAGCATGGGCAGAGGCCCTTGCACATCCACCTCTGAACCTGATGCTGCACTGGCTCTTGAGGCAGCAAAAAGGCTTCAGCTTTGCATCCTGTTTCACCAGGGTTTGACAATACGGCTTTTATGAACTTAGCCTTTTAATTTGCTCTGCCCAGTACTTTGTACATGTCTTTTAATTAAGCCCAACGTATTTATTATCAATACCAAATACATTACAGCTCCTCCTTTTAATTTCACTATAACCTAAGGAGACGATAATCATAACACAACCTATCTGATTTTCTGATTGGAATCGAGCTATACTACAAATCCATAAAAACAGTGTAAATATTATAATTGAGATCAAGATGAGTATTTTTAAAAATTTTATCCTAAATTTTGTTACTGATAGTTATTCAGCTTTTCAATAAAAAAGTGCCTATTACTTGTATTTGCCTAACATTAGTATTTCTCAATACTAGCAGAGCAACAAATCGCACAGGGACATCTACTGCTGGGCTCAACAATACTGCAAGAACCACACATATTTCTACCTATGTCATAATGAACAGAAAAGCAGTTCGGTTGGTATGATGAACTGCTCTGTCAGAGTATGACAGTAAGCTGCTGAATGGGAAACAAGCCAGATAAACAACCCCATATAAACAAATTAAAACAAGCAGTTAAAAACTCTGCTGTGAGACAGAAAATATTCTGTAATGTGAACAAAACAATCAAAAGCTAGGCAGAGAAAGATCCTACGTATATGTGGCATAAAGTAAATATTCAATCAATAAAGGAGATTACCTCTCTCAGTTCTCCAATTCTGCGAAGCGCTTTATCCTGACTCTGACTCAGAACATTCTTTAAAAAAATGAAGAATAAATATCAGGTGTATTAAATGTAACTTTATATATGGAGTATAAATACATTCATAGAATTGTATTTCAGCAGAAGAATTAATGATTAAACTATCACCTGAATTCAGGTGATGCAATAAAAAAGGCTGGAGTAAAATAGCTTCACAGTTATTTTGAAAACCATTATTAACTTGGCTTCCTTATAAATTCCAGCTAAGAAAGAGTCCTTTGTTATACACACACATATACACATACACAACGTATTGTGTAAACACACACATAATGCACTGAAAATTAAATCTGTATTTGCACTATACATTTTAAGATTCAGAAAAGCATTCAGGTAAGAGAGGATGAAAAGTAATGCTTACCTCTAGCTTCTTCTTCTCCCGCTGGAGAACTTGATAAGCAGCCACTAGCTAAAATACAGAAATCAGGTATAATGATGATAACCCATCCACTTATAGCTATCAAAATAATTTGCTTAGTTATGTCACTATCTGCATTTTCAAACTCTTCACTTCACTTGAGAAAGCTCTTCTGACAGGAATGTGCTTAAATTTTCTCAATGCTCCCCTTTTCCATTTACAAAATATCTCCAACACGTTACAAAAACAAAGCCTACATGACAAAACAATGAGGTTACTCAGCATTCATGGAGTTTTCCCTTCACTGAAAAGACCTCTAAGAACAGCCATGCTTCAATACAGGCCATCAAAAACCAGCTGTATCAGAAAGTTACATCCCAGGCAGCTATCCCACAGGGATGGGCATCTGTAAGTGTACACGTCCCAGAAAGCTTAAGTAAAATTAATTTTACAATGAGTAGGCATTAAAAAATACACTCACAAATCTAGGAAAAAAAAAGGTCTCTGTAACACTGAATGTTCTTATCCCATGTGCTTTGCATATACCCAGTAGACAAAGAAAGACTGGAAGTGGACAATATTTCTCATTGTAAGTTGACAAAAGGACTTCATGAGTAACTGCACAATTTAGTTTAATTAAAAATTTGATCACAATTGCCTAAGCTGTCCAAAGCTGAAGTAGCATAATGGCACTTGGAACTAGAATGCGGTTTCTAAAATGCTGAAACATTAAAGGAAAACAAATCCAGAAGAGCAAAACCAGGAATCTTTAAAGTCAAAAGATATCTTCAAATTCTTATTTAAAATAAATTAGAATTTTTCAGAATTCAAAATTACATTTAATTTCAAAGTCATACCTATTTTGCATTTAAAAGAAAACTAAAACTATCATGGATGGTTTCCCTTACCGTATTTTTGAGATGTTAATTTTGTCCTACTTTAAGTAAGGAAAAAACCTTACATCTTAAATACTCACTATATATTGAAACTACTTTCTTCCAAGCTCCAGCAAAACAAGTCTTTCCAACTGAACTAAAGAAACCCACAAAAACAAACAAACAAAAAAAGAGCAAGCTTTTTTGATAGAGAAAATTAAGACTTGCTGGACAGACTACACAAAAAAAACCCAAAAACCCAACCAACAAAAACACCCACCAAAACAAACCTACAAAGTGAAGAATTTTCATTTTAGCCACACCATTTACATAAACTTTAAAAAATATATATCTTATTATACTAGCTGAAAGAGAGTGAAAAATTCATGGGAGGCAACAACTACTGAATTAATGGGAGACAACTGTTTTTTCAGGCATACGCTGAATACTGTAATTGCTGTATACGTATTTTAGATTCCAGGGATTCTGACAGTAATAGCTAGAGGTCTGCACAGGCATTTTTGTGTTTGAGGGCAGCAAACATCTAAAGAACTGTAAAAAACAGTGCAAATGTCCAGTTTAAAATACAACACATATACTTACCAAAAAAAAAAAAAATCCAATACCACCACTTGGAAAGCTTTACTTTTCCCAACAATTTCGAAAATGAGTAGCAAAACTACTTATTTCATTGGATTTCACTAAAATAGCAAAAGAAATAGTCCTTAAAACTCCTTCCAGGGAATACCTGGAAATTATGGCGAATAGAACTGATTTACTGAAAACAAAATGCTTGCCTATCACACGTGCATGGAATATACATTGTGTACTCCAAGAACAAGTTTCGGAAGAAAAGTAAAATTGCTGTCACGCGAGTACAAGCCATGCTCATCTCTGTACTGAACTTCACCCCTCGCTACGGGCTTTCTGCAGAAACCTCCATAGGCCTACTTTGTGTGAGCAACCACTAATTAATCCCTATGGCTGACGACATGCAATTACTTACAAAAGAGAAGAAAAGGATCATTACTAGAAAAACACTTGACCTATCTAGGCCAAAGACAGAGTTACAATAATAATTTAACGTCCATGTTGGTTGTAAGTTGATCTATTTGCTCCAGATAGGAAAACAAACCGATGCATTATCTGTTGGCCTCATGTTTTTCCCCTCTCCGCCCAGGTCAGTCAGTCTCAGCACTGCCTACCTCTGAGTATTTCTCCTTATAGTTGTCCAACTTGCACTCCATTTTGTGCAGTCGCTGCAGCAACAGCTCTCTGCTGAAGCAGTCCATATTTCCCAGGGGCTCTTCTGTTTCACTTTCGATGTCGGAAGGCGGCTCAAAGGTGGGACTGGCTGTGTCCAAGTCCAGTCGATTCGATGAGTCTCCTGAAGAAGTTTGTACTAAGGACTCCTTAGAAGAAGAGTGGAACAGAGACTCTCTTAGCGGGCTTTGAAACAAAGACTCCACAGAGGGAATTCGGAGCTGAAGCCTCTGGGCAAAAGACTGAATGTCACCCACCTGCAAAAATTCAAAGCAAGTAATTCCTTCTGTACTGCTTTTAGGCCGATGGACATGCTAAAGCCCAGGAAACAGAGACCTGATCTGGGCAAAAGAACAACTGCTGCCTAACACCAAATAGCATGACACCAAATAGCTACCACTCCCTTAGAAGAATCATCTCCTTGTGCAGAAAAACCAAGCATGCAACTAAAACCAATAAACTACAGCTGGTAAACTTTTAAAAGAATTAATTTCTGTGTAACCCCTTTAAAAAGTGAAGAATATGTAACTAAAACAAATAGTTGCATTTACTGTTGTCCCAAACTAAAAAAAAAAAAAAATTAAAAAAAAAATTGTGTGACTCACTTTTTGATTTTTCAAGACTGTATTTATCTCAAAGACACAAAGATATTTTCCTATGATTAAGAGAACAAATTTATTGCAAAAGTCCTTGTACAATAGTTCTAGCATGCCATCTTAAACAGTCCTTTTCTTATTTTTGGTTTATTTTAAATGGCTTTACGATTTTTACATAAAATACTATTATTGATTTATGGAGCTAAAGTACTGATGCTGTTCTAAAACAAAAGGTTCTGTGCTATGATACCATATACTGCTGGCGCGACAGAAGTGATTTAAAAGTATTACCGCACGATGTTGCCTCCACAACAAAACCTCGGGGCACACGTGCTAGCAGCTACTGCTAATCCCACTCCAGCAAGCTAAACTTTTTCTGAGACTTATTAAAGAATGAGCTCCACCTTTATCACTAGTGACAATTTTTTTTAAGCCTATCAGTTCTTTTCCTTCAGCTAGAACTGATTTTTCAAGCCACGCAATATTCCCTCTACTTTTGAAAGCATGGTTAAAGCTCCGTATCCCGTGCTGGCTGTGCCCGTGAGCAATGAGACTCACCTCAATGCAGGCAGACGCCTGCAGACACCGCCAACCTGTCCCTACAAAAAAAAGCTCCATGCATCAGTGACAACACTTAATACCAGCTAATGGGATTACACACAAACAAAACACCCTAGGATCCCAACAGGCAAGTACTCGTCATCCCTACTCCAGGTAGATATATATAGATAGATAGATAGATAGATAGATAGATAGATAGATAAGGGAAGATATATACTGGACATTTAAGCCAACATAACACAACGACACCACCGTGAAGGAGGAAACAAACCCCCCAGACCCCCTGCCCATACCTGTGGGGAGGCTGGTCGACTGCCATTGCTCTCTGTGGATCTGGGAAGCGATGGTTTAGTTAAGTTCTACAGGAGGAAAAACAACTGTTAGATGGAATAGATGACAAAGACTGTAATTCACCAATTCCTACAAATAGCACCTGTGCTTTTTCCTTGCCTGTGCTTTCAGTATTTTCTTTTGAATGTTTATTAAGATGTCCTCATGCAAACAAGGTAGTTTGTTAAATACAAATCAGACCGCTGCAATATACAGAACTACAAAGCAGCTATGTGTGCATGGATTAGTATGAGACATCTGCAAACGCTCACATCTCCAATTAAATTATTCATAATGATTATTTATGTAACATTTATGCACAAATCAAAGAAACACCAAAAAGACAAAATGATAGCAGGAAAAATCTAACTGATGACCAGCACTGTTTACAGCCAACATGAGTAACAGTAGAATCACGCTGTCTTTCTCTGTTCAAGTACATTTGAGGGGTGTCGGTGTGGAAACTGCCTGGAAAAAAAGTGCTGGTAACATGCTGTTTAAGACTCCAAACAAGCACAGGAAGAAAATCAGACTTTCAGAAAAAACATCCTGTGCAAACCTTCATGTGTACATTCCTCTGCACTCCCAAAGAAAAAACAAACACAAATCAACCAATGTCAAAACAAAAAAAAAAACCTACCCAAAAAAGCAAAACCAACAGAACAGAAAACATTCGCTTTGAGGTTGGCTTTTTGTTGTTGGGTTTTTTTTGGTTGGTTGGTTTGGTTTTGACATAGTTCAGCCATTTCTGTTCCTAGTCTGTCTATCCCGCTTTTCCTACGTCCTGTGTTCAGGTGTTTCCTCACCTGTACAAATCCAGACCGTTTTCTGGTGTTCAAACCAAGCCAAACCAAAGTAGTAAAACAAGCTAGAGACCATCTTGGATATGAATGTTTTCCAAGAGAAGCAAAGCACTGAGGCATATCGAACAAAATATGAGGAATTCAGCTAAAAGCAGTGTAACTTAACTTTTAATCAAGATGTGCTCTGATAGTTATATGCAAGCTGTAAAATCTAAGGTACGTATACAACTAAAATATCAATCATAATCATCCACGTATCTGCTATATGCTTGTACCCACAGCTTTTACTATGTGTGGATATGCAGATAAACATACATAAACATAAATGTAGAAGAGGAATGATTCAGTATAAAAGGCCTTCAGAAAGGTTTGACGTGGAGTAAACTTAAGGAAGTACAAAAATACCACAGAAGAAAGAGAAATCCAGAGAGTTACGGAAGCCAGAGAATCGAGCAGCCGCCTCGACTCAGACAAAATGAAACGCGCAATGACCTGCCATACAAGAAGCCTGTTTGGATTTGGAAATTGTGCTTCACCTGCCTCGAACAAAATCCGCATCCCGCTTCAGAGCGCCATCCTGTTGCGGTGGATTTATTCCTAGTGGATTAAGAGCTCTTGCTGCATTTTATACTAAAGCATTCCTACATTTTATTCTCGGCTCCATTACCTGTTCTTTTTCATTTCCTAACTGGAAAGTTAATAATAACGGTAATCCAAATAAAAATTTATCTTCTGCTTTATTATTTACAAAGCATCTACCATGCTAGTACTGGACTGACAAAGGAAAACAAATACTTTACTAAGAATTACAAACTAACTACAAACACTTCTTTCAAAAATCATATATTCTGATACCTATAAAAAGAATGAAAGTAAACTATGGAGGGTTTATACATTTAATTCACATGAATAATTTAATAATATTTAAGATCTATTATATAACACAAAATTAAGCAGATTTCTTAAATCTAGTAAGGTATTTATGAATATAAAAACCATGGATGTTGTTCTTTTCTGTGAAGATCCTTAAAAAGCTGCCATTTAAGGATCTACGAAGCGCCTTAAAAACTGCCTTTTCAAAACTAAAACTAATGTCATCACTTTTAAAACTTTCCTATTAATTGTGCTGACATCTTTGTATTCAATCTGTGTGAACAAAAGTAGAACCTATACTTGGGATTAGACTTTCTATTGGCATAAATTAAAAAAGGGATACACTGGCAAATTTTTATACAAAAACTGGACCACCACAGGTATCTAGTTGTTGCAATTCTAAGTTGCTGTGCCCTAGGACAAAGGGTCATATTTTGGTATCCACACAGTGAAAGGTAAGCATGAATGGAAGTTGCTATATATAACTACAGATTTAAGAGGCTTTGAAGAACTTAGAAGCCCTAGCCTTTCATAAGCCTTAAGAGATGTTTCAGCAAAACTAGAATCACAGAGCACAGGCTGGCATTCCAGAAGTTTTAATGCCAGTAGAGTTACGTCAGGGTTTCTGGAGACCAACAGAAGTCTTTCCTCCACGAACCCACAGAACACACACAACTATATCTCTATCCAAAGAGGGCAATACTTACAATCTCTAATTAAAAGGTTGCTTTTTGTTATTAAGATGTATAAACCAGAGCTCAGTTTTAACTGGAGCACGTTAGGGCATTCCAGTGACCCTTGTGCTTCCTTACCTCCCTATTTCTGAAATGCAAACGAATTCATCTTATTTATTTCTCAAAGGTATAAATAGATTCATAAGCCTAAAGAGTGAAAGCCTAAATGTCTGCATTTAAAACACATCTTACTGTTCTCTCTCCTTCTCAGGTATTCCAAAATAGAGTAAATTACAGAGGAAGGAAGGAGAGTTTAGTACACATTTTCTTCCCTCATTTTCCTTCAATTTTTCTTTTAAAAACCTCTCTGTCCAAGAATATTTGAACTGTTTCTTCATGCAACAAAACCCATGCAACTTTGCTAGTAAAGAGTTTTTTCTAACTTCATCTGTGCCAAAAAATCCACAATCACAATCACTTCTCTATGATGCTCACTCTCTTGGATCACACGTCACTGGCACACACACAGTTAAAATACTGGTCTGTTTTAGCAGAATTAATATGCATTTGTGTGTGTGGATGAAACCTCCCCTCTCCTGTATCTTTAGTTTGCCAAGGTTTCCCAAACATATGTAATTTTTTTAATATGTATTTGTATATAATCGACCCTACTCTTCCCTATAAACTTTCATATCATTGTTTTCTCCTCTCCAGTTCTTACTGTGAGAGTACAGCTTTCAAAAAGTTCAGGGAACAAAATCAGTTTTACAGGTAATTATTATCAATACACATTGGTAACACATTAACAATAATGCTTACATTATAATTATTTACTATGTGTGCAGTCTCATATATAAATATGCAAGTCAGTGATTCCTGCCACTAAACTATATACTAAAAGATAATATTAAGACAACATTTGAGCATTCACAGAAATATGTTTTGTGAGATGCAATTGTACTAGGGATATGCTGTAGTGCAGGGAAAAACAGCCCACAACTGTTCATCGCTGAAAGTGTAGAAAAGCTTAATTAAATTTGTAGTGAAACTTTAAGCAGTGATCACTGCACCTGGAATACGGTCACAATACCTAGAACTGAAAAAAAACCCCAATAATCTAGTAACTATTTCAAAACTACAGATTTCAGCACAGTCTGAATGTCCTCCTTGCTCCCCATCAAAAAGCTTAATTTTGAGAACACCATGACTGAGTTAGTAATGAATCTGCACTCCAAGGCCATGCTCTAAACAAGCATAACCCTTTACAACAAGTGAAGACTTTCCACAGATCAACTTTTTAATCCCTGTTCCAGTCCACTCTTGCTCAGCTTGAGAGACAAGTCCAACACAGCATGGTGTGTTCCGCTATGTCCATCTGCTTATCAAATTTCTACCCCGTTACAGCTTTAGTGACTTCTCATTTTCAGGCTCCGCATGAGTGGCAAAAAAGCACTTGCTAAACTGGAAAAGCAAAGTAATCATGAAGTATGAGGATGAGCTGAGACTAAAAAACACTGTGTTCACGTGCCTCTGAAGCATGTGAGAGATGCCATCCCAGTCCTGTTACAATAACGAGAAGAAATCAGGTTTGTGCGTATGTCAAAGTAAAAGGCTGCTTTCCTCCCTATGCCTGGCTTCTTTTTCTCCACTCCTTACTCTCTTGTCACCAAGCTTCTCCACTCATATACTATGAAAACAACATTTCCAGGCAAAGAAATACATATTTAAAATAAAATCTAATTATTAAAAAAAAGACTATCCTCACAATAGCTGCCAGGTTACCAACTAGAAGTAGTTGAATTTCAGTGTCTGTGTGAGATAATTATTTCCTGCTACCATTAGTAGTAAATGACATTGTGAGGCTCTCACTGTACAGAGCAAAACCACGTGATTTTTAGACAAAAACAATCTCAATGCTTATCATATCCATTTATCTTGAAATACATACAGACATAGATAAAAATGAAGAGAAGACTTTCAATGGCATTAATGAATTCTATGCAACGAACGTACAAACTTGTGCAACAATTATTTAAAAGTTGTGTGGAGTATGGTTACCTGTGTAACAGAAAACGTGTTAATTTTTTTATGTTACAATAAATTCACATCATACAGCACACCAGCCAGGAGCTAGCAGGTACTACCTCCGTGAAATTTAGTGCAGGGTTAGCAACAGGGTAGTTAAGACAGATGCCTTTGTGAGAACAAGCCACAAGCAACACTAGGTTTGCGTTCTAGTACAGTACTCTCCTCCCCCTGCTAAAGGCATCACTAAGAGGGGTGGGAGGACTCACCACACCATCACTCTGTGGCTTAGCTCGTTTGGTGGGATCCAAAGCAAAGATAGTATACTCAGAGAGAAAAGCAGGTTCTGCTATCATCCCGGCTAGCAGCTGTCATTCAATGCAAAAAGTAGGAAAACGAAAATAAATCAAGTAATAAGGTAATGGATGTTGCACGATTTTACTCAATTTTTCCACATTATTAAAAACATCGTAAAACAATACAGCAGTTTATGAGACAACCGGTATCCATAAAGGCAGGATATAACCAGAAAATATGCATTAGATCATTTCAGAACAGCGAAAATCCAGTTTTGATCACTCAGAAGTAAAGAAACACACAACTGAAAAAACCCTCCCAGTTAGTCAAAGATAAAGACAATGTTTCAGGCACTGATATTGTAATTTTCTTTAAACTTCTGTGGATGCCTTACCTTCAGATACCACTCAGCCTTCTTTGTTCTCAGTTTGGTGTGAAAAACTTGTTATTCTAAAAATTCTATCAGTATTTCAGTTATAAACAATATAAATTGTATGCTTTTGACTATTCATATTCTACTGCTCTTATACACTAGAATTCTAACTACATAAAAAAAAAAAAATCCTTACAAAATTTTTCAAACTACTAGTAAAACTACTTGTAAAAACACCGCAAGTTGAATTAACCATTTTATCAAGTCAGTATCAAAGAAGAGATTTAAATTCCTAGAGATGAAAACCATGAAGAGAAAGAGACTGGAATTTGCATTCCAACTGGATATATACCTGTAACTTGATGCAATCTAATGCTGTTAGGCCAACCCTACAAATAAAGAAGGGCAAAAGGCAAAATACTGAGGCAGAAAAGTAATCACTGTATCAAAATGAAATCACAAAATATTTCCTCCCCAGTAGCCAAGACAAGAGTTTCACACTTCAAATAGCTACCAAAGACAGAATACACCCAGTCATGGTCCAAGAGTGGTATTCCCTTAGCACATTTAGAACTGGTTGCATCTTCTCATTAGTGAGTTCATCCTCCATTCTTGGATGCTGGGTGTTCAACAATGAAAACATTTAAGTACTTGCTCACGGTATTTTTGTTACTCCAGCAACTCATTACCTGTTATACTTTTACAGCTAAATTATAGGCAGAGCTCTCTAACGAGTCCTACAATTACACTACCTAATGCTTTCCAATACATACATGTGTTTTTATCTGCCCTTTTTAATTTTTTTAATCACCTATTCAGTATGGCTTTAAAACTAGCTGTCTAGTTAACTTGGGAGGGGGTATTAAAAGTCACTAAAAATGATTCACCTATGTCTGGAAAAAAAGGCAAGAAACAACGTGCTAGTCTGCCAAAATTAAACAGATGTAAATATTTCCACAATGGATTCTTGCACTTCAGGATTTGGCCTAAAACCCACTTTGAATTACCTTAGTAGCTTCAGAAACATTAAACTTATCTGTCCTATACTAACGTATCACTAGCACCACATTGGCGCCCTGCCAGTACTGTGATCAGTACAACCAGACAAGCAGGGAATCCAGCTGGGCTGAAGCATAGAGGAAACGGGCAGAATCTGCAAAGATGTAAATAATCCTTTAACTAACCTTCTCTAATCCTCTGATCGCCATCAAATCACACTGGAACCTTGCTATAGAAACCCTATTAAGATCTTCCAACATTCTGTTTCAAACATACCCCAGGGTAAACAAACTCCCTACCCCACACCAACCTTATCTCAGGCACCAAATTAAGGTCATGATATCGCCGATCTTTTGTCACAACATTTAACTCCTATTCTTCCCCCCCCCCGCCCCCCAAGTAAAATCTTACTAACCAGCAAACATTTCTATCTCGGAAAGAAAGTTGCAAATTATGTAAATTAAGTGATGAAGCCAGACACCAGATGATGCTATGTTTGCTTCAGTATTACCAAAGAACAATACATAAAGGTATTTTTAAAATAACCTTTGCATTTCCAAAATTTTGAACAGTTTTTGTAGTCCTCACGTTTGGCCTAAGTTAAGTAACCTTGCTTGTTCTTTATGGACTTTCTGAACTCTAAATCCAACTGAGTTCATATTATTCTTGCTATTTCTCCACCCTCTGAAGAATTACCATGCTCAAATCTTCCTTTGCTAAGATTCTGATGAGTGGAGTGCAAAGGCCAAAGTACTTGTGATCCCTAGATCAAAGGGCTTCCTTAACACGCTGTGAAACAAAAACCAGAATTTAACAGGGATTAGTTTGACTCAAGTCTCATTGTTCTGGAGATAGCAGTAGTCGAAACAATGCATGTTATATGTTTGATTGTCAAATGCAGTCATTATTGCCTTTCAGAAAAAAAAAGAAGAGAAGCTGCGGTTCCAAATTAAACTGTTATCAAGCAAATCTGAAAATTCATACATTTTGTTAGCAAAGTACATCATGGTATATGTGCATTTGTAGTATGTTAATGCTTAAAAGTTTCTATAATTGTACATGGACAGTTTTGCTATGTTGTTTGCAAGTACAGTAAGACAGAGGGAAAGCGATTAGACTGTAAGCTTGTCTAAGAGACAAGCCAGTATTTGCTCATCTAGTTCAAGGAGCTGGAAGATGTCAGCTATTCGGCTAAAGGTTTAGAGTTTCGAGTCTTACTGACAAGTAACTCATTCCCCACAGTAAAATAAATACGTAAATTTGGTTGGTTGTCCAAGTTGGGGAATGCCAGAAAAACGTTGTGAATAATTCAGTAATTTGCTGATTTACACAACTATTTATTTATAGAAGGTTTATGCAATTTGCAACATAACCTTTTATGCCTCATCCTTACTGTGATCAGGGAATAGGAAAAACTGAAGAGCTGAAATATCAAGGTTTCTCTCTGCAATTAAAAAAGCCCCAGAATCTAAGAGTGCAGAACTGTATTTTCAGAAAGAGGTAGTATAGAAATCAAACACAACTCTTTTCTGGTTTGTTTTTCATTCTGATGAGCAATATAAACATGCTGGTGTATGTATCAGGAGTTGTAACATCCAGGCTTTAGATACAAACTAGGTTATACAGCCTCCAAAATTCAGTTTTAAATTTGCATGTCAGAAAGGAAAAAAAGGTAGACATATCTGAACCATCTTTGCATGGCAACATCTATTTGGAAGTACTTCCAATCAAGTATATGAATACAGAAAAGATGCAGCACTAACAAAAGTGGTGAAGGAGTATTATTTCAGTTTTACCTGTCCTGCTTTATTAATAGCCATGCTAGAAAAACATTTCAATTAATTTAAAAACATAGTCATTATATAGCACTAAAGTGAGACAGAGAAGTACCTTGGCTAGTTTATCTTTAGCTCTAAGAAGAGCTATATATATTGTGCTCTGCTGTCAATTCCATAACACTCATGAGGATGTGTGTGATACTTGGATCTGCATGACTGGTAGGTCACCCACAGCAAGCTATCAGCTGTTTGCTCTCTGCTGATGGCTCCAAACTACCTTTGTTATCTTCTGCAGGTGGGCCTGACTCATAAGTAAGTATATTATAGAACAGAAAGAAAATTTTGAACTTCTAGGAACTATACTGAATACGATTGATGTATTTCACCGCTAATTCCGTTCAAGAGTCAACACGGTAGCAGTTTGAAAACCAAACGCTATTCTTCCCTAGAAAAGACTGGAAGCACTAAGTAAGCACGTTTTAATCATCCAGGGCAGTTTCAAACAGTACCAAGACCAACTCAGAAAGCATCTGATATGCAAACTGTCCGAAGAAGTTCTAGAGAAGTAGCAATATGTGCTTTTACCTCGCACTGTAGTCGTATTTTATGGGCTACTTGCAAGAACAGAATACAGAACTAGACTGGCTTCTGCTATTTCTTTATACAGGAAAAAATTACGAGCTTCTCTAACACCGCCTCTGGAGATCCACAGCTCCACTAAAATAGAAGCCAAAGAATAAAGTGGGCATGAAAAGGAAACTTACCTAGTATTCCATGAATGGAGCATACAAGTGTTTTCTTGTTTTGTTTTGTTTTTGGTTTGTTTTTTTTTAAACTGAGAATGTTTTGGAATTTTGAAAAAAAAATATTCTTATTATAGAACACAAAGCAAGAATGTTTGCCTGTATGTTTTACAATAATTCTTTGATCAGACTAATGCTGTGACTTACAACCATAATTCACTCTGAAATTGTTTTTATTCTAAAAATATTCTGAGTATAAATCAAAGTTTTCACGTGCAATACCTGCAACTTTGATATTACAGCACTAAAAATCCAAAAATATGATCTATCAAAGACATACTAAAACCTAATTGCCCAGGAGGAGGGCAGAGAACATACAAGAGAACTATGAAACACTGTAATTTTGCTTAGCAAAAGGGTTAGCGATTATTCATGTACTGCAAGAACGTTTTAGCATATGATACTCTTCAAATATTTTCAGTCTATTAAATGTTGTCCAACTTCAGTTCACTGGAATGCCATTGCCATCTGTACGTAAAACATCTGCCTGATCAAATAAGAACACTGTGAAAAATGCCCCCCAAAAGACATAATAATCAGGGCATATGTCTTCAGAGATAGTATGCAATATCTGCATCTTTTTGAAGCATAGTAATACTGCCGTTGAACTGAATTTTATGAAAATCTAATCCAAACAAATACATTTCAAAGACTATTTGCTTTTAATCATTCTATTAACATTTATGAAAAATATTTGTAGAAAGAAGATTTCATGTCTTGACCATCTAGATTTATCTTTTAGTAAAACTTTCCATTTGACGTAAAACGAGTCCTTACAAAAAAATAGGAGACTTCCATCCCCTTAGCAGCTTCACTACTTTCTGAATTTCTAATTGCAGGCTATGTTTCACAACTAAAATTCTCATAGCAGCTTCCTAAGCCCAAGGATAACTGTAAATCTGGGGTCACTTTAGTACTCCATTTCCATTCTTAATCTTATTTCTCCTTCTGCCTCCCTGATTATTCCAGTGTAACCACTGTATTTACAGCATAATGTTCTTCCAGCATAACTTGCCATGTCCTGTGGGGAATTCTTTGCTTCTCTTGTTTGTCTGGAAAAGCAGTCTGGAAAAAAAACAGCCTGCTGGGGGGCAACATATATCTAA